CCCCCAGGCTCACAAGGAGAGCAGCAGGGCGAATCCAGCCAGGTAAAGGTTCCTCTGGGCGCGGAAGAGTTTCATGTGGAAATGCTCCAGGGCGGCCGGGCTGCTGCTCAGCGCCTCCCGCTCGCCCACGCTGTATTTACGGGTCTCCCTCAGGGCATCTGAGGGGTGGAAAGGGTCACTGAGACCCCCTGAGACCCCCAAAATCCTCCCCAGGGCCCACCCCGGACCCGCTGAGGGGCGGCAAAGCCGTGGGAATGTTTTCAGACACGCCCAAAAATCTCTGGGAAGCTCCTGAAATCACCGTAGGGATTGTTGTGGTTGGCCCAAATTCCTCCAGAGCCTTTCAAATCCTCCTCAAAATACCCCCAAACCTCCTCAAATACCCTCAAACCTCCCCAAAGTATCCCCAAACCTCCTCAAATACCCTCAAACCTCCCCAAAATACTCCCAAACCCTCACAAAATACTCTCAAACCTCCTCAAAATACTCCCAACCCCTACCCAAATATTCCCAAACCTCCCCAAATACCCTCAAACCTCCTCAAATACCCTCAAACATCCCCACAATACTCCCAAAACCTCCTCAGATACCCCCAAACCCTTCCAATCATCCTAAATTCCACCAAAGCCTCCCCAAAACCTTCCAAATCCTCACTAAAATGCCCCCCAACCCCCCCAAAACCTCCCCAACCATCCCAAATCCCCCCAAAATACCCTCAGACCCCCCCAAACCCTTTCCAAACATCCCAAATCCCCCCAAAACCCTCCCCAAAACCTCCCCAAACCCTTCCAACCCCTTCCCAACCACCCCAAATCCCTCTCAATCCTCTCCCAACCATCCCAAATTCCCCCCAAATCCCCCCAAAAATCCCCTCAAATCCCCCCCAGACCCACCGAGGAGCAGCAGCACGAGGATGACGATGAGGACGATGAAGAAAGTGTTGCCATAGGCCACGGCCAGGCCGACGAGACGGGAGCGGAAAATCTTCTGCCATCTGAAGGGAAAGAGAGGCGAAAATTGGGAAGTTTTCCTCAAATTCCAAAGAAAAATTAAAGGAGTTTCTCCCCCAGGACGTCACAAAATTCCAGGGAATCCCTCTCGGGGATTCCCCCCCAAAATTCCAGGGAATCCCCTCAAATTCCGGGGAATCCCCCGCCAGGATCCTCCAAATTCCAGAGAATTCCCCCAGAACCCCCAAAATTCCAGAGAATTCCCCTCAGGACCCCCAACAAATTCCCAATTTCAGCCTCACGAATCCTCCCCTTCTCACCTGGCCGGAGAAACGAAAGGGACGCAGAGCAGCAGCACCAAAAAAACCTCCGCGTACAAGAACGTGGCCACCGCCGTCCACTGCAGGCTCATGGCGGCCTGAGGGGGGCACGGACAGCGATGAGGACCCGGTTGGGGGCACCGGGACCCCCAAAATCCCCTCAGAAACCCCCAAAAAACCTCCCCGGAGCCGCCCCTCCCCCACCTCCCTCACCCTCAGCTGCGGCCCCCGCCCAATCCGGAAGCGAACAGCCGAAGCCCCGCCCACACGCTGAGGGAAGCGACCAATCAGAGCGAGAGGCGGGAAAAAAATTGCGTGACGTCATTGCCGCCCGCCATTTTTTCCGCCCTAGTGAAATGCGACCAATCGGAGCGAAAGGCGGGAAAAAAGTACGTGACGTCATTGCCGCCCGTCATTTTCTCCACCCCCCGGCCCGGGAAAATTTGACGATAAATTTTAAAGGAATTGGAAGGAAAAAATCGGAAATTAATAACGAATAAATTAATTTATTCGTTAATAAAGTTAACTGTATTGAAATGAGGCCGCGCTTCTTCGTGGTACCGCCCACACGCCCCTCGCACCTTCGCGCCGACGGTTCGTCCCTCACGGTAGCCACGCCCTCGACCCCGCCCACAGCCAATCAGTGTCCCGCCCTCACCCTTTGCCCCGCCCCGCGGCGTTGATTGACAGCTCTGGAGGCGGTCAATGCATTTATTGAGGGGAGCCGGGACCCCCCGAATTTGGGGAGGTTTGTGAGGGGTCTGGGGGGTCCTGGAGGGGGACCCAGAGGGATTTTGGAGTCTGACGGTGATCCCGAGAAGATTTCGGGGGTCCCAAGTGAGTTTTGGTGTCCCGGGCGGCGTTCCAAGGGATTTTTGGGGGTCCCCAGGAGGAAAATGGAGGGTCCTTGAGGGGGCGGGGGTCCCACAGAAGATTTTGGGGGTCCCGAGGGGTATCCAGAGGGAATTTTGAGGTTCCTGGGGGGATCCCGAGGGAAGTTTGGGAAGGGGGAGGGAAAATTGAACGTCCTGGGTGTTTCCAGGGAGGATTTTGGGGTCCCCAAAACTCGAGGATTTTTTGAGGGGGGGGGTCCCGGATGGATTTTGGGGTGGGGGGGGTCAGCCCGGGCCCACCCCCAGCAGCAGCAGCCCCAGCAGGACCCCCCCGATCACCCCCAGCGCCACCAATTGGGGTCTGAGGGGGAGGAGGCGCCCGGGGGGGCCCGGGAGGGGCTCTGGGGGTCCCGGGGGGCTCCAGGGTGGGGGTCCCCCGGTGGGGGGAGGGGCTCGGAGGGGCTGCCGAGGCTCCAAACGCAGGGGGCT